GCCCCGTGTCTCTGTGATTCAGGTTTGAGTTATTTCCTGTCCCTTTGTTCTCCCTGTGGCTGGGTGCCATCAGTTTCACAGCTCCTCTCACACTTCCTCACAATTCCATTTTTAAGTGAGTCCTTCACATCCGCGTATACTCCTTTTGAATTTTTAATGGAATTTTTGTGATTTTTATACCATATAGTTTGACGGCACTAGATCCATTCCCCTCTCTGCACCTCCCCCACTGCTCCCCCAATTTAATAAACTCATATATAATACGGCCTATGGAGTATGATATGTGTCCCCCAGTGTCCTTCAGTGTGGATCCATCCATTGGGATCACCAAGAGTCCCATCCCTCTAAGACAACTGTCTTTCTCCCTGTCTCCCAGCAGCCATCAACTCCGAATACTTTCAAAAATAGTGTGAGGTGTTTAAGGACAAGTAAAAATCAAATCTCCAGGTAAAATGGACCCACGTGTGAAACACTCTAGGGTCGTTTTAGATCCCGCACAGCCTTGTGCCGCATTGAGTGATGGTTTTCAGGTCATCTGTGCAACAAGCTACATTTTTAAGGTTTGGCTTGGGACTGCAACACATTAAATTCGAGGTAAAAGCTGATGTGCTCTGGCAGTGGGAGGCTGGGAGGGAGATCACAAGGTCTATCCTGGCTTTGGATGTTCTAGAGATGACCACTGTCTGGAGACTAGGCCTGAGTGCTCCTCAGTGTTCTGGGACAGTGCTCCAAGACAACACATGTGCATACCAGTAATCTGGCCTGGACCTCATCTAGAAGTTTGTATTTCTAGGAAGCTTCTAAAAGACACCAGTTCTATGGACACAGACTATACTTCAGGAGTAGACCCCTCAATTTCTCTGTATTAAAAATAAGATACATTTTAAGCTTGTCATATACTAGAGAACATTCTATCTCTCTTCCTTCAGAGGTCAAGAAAATAAATGCATTGTTTTCTGAACTCATGATGATTCCTCTAATGTGTTTTTAATTTTGTGCATTCCATTTGGAATTGGACAGTGGCCAGATGAAATGATCAAGCAGATTATATCATCAAGACTCTTTCTGGAATCAAAATTAGTCGATGGGGGAGGAGGTCCTAAGCACAGCAAGTCATAAGAACAAAAAAATCAAGCTACTTGAGGGGAAGTGCACCCATACTGGTAACTGATAAACCGCAAACTCAATCACAACAAGACGCAGTAGGGGTGCCACAGTTACCAGAGCTGTCTCCATCTGGACTCAGATGCTTCCCTGTCTGACCATGGCAACCATGGAACGTCTTCCAGTGAAGAATAACTCGGTACAAACAGTCTGTGAATCAGAGGTCAGGGTCAGGTCAGCCGGAGCTGTGGAGTCAAAGTGATGGATATTTCGCACATGGTGGGCAGAACCAGGGCTTGCTCACTTCCTGACCACATGAGGACAGTTTCTGGGCTTGGCTACCCTTTCCTTCTTTTCCGTATGACCTTTTCTCTTTTATCTACAACTCTACTTAAAATTCTTGGTGCATGATCTCCGGATCTGGATCTTCCTCTTTGATCTTTCCTGCAGTCTTTATTTTTACTCTGCAAGTTAGTTATTCTTTTCTTGCTTTTGCTTTCTTGCGTTCATTCATAAAATATTTAAACAGAGACATAGACGAGAGGAAACAAGCCAGTCTTTGGTTTCTGAGGGAGAGATGGAGAATACAGTGATTACAGTTCAGTGGACAGTTGTTGGTCTCATTCCTTTAACACCTGGACACTTCTCCTTTCTTTAATCCCTAGACAACAGCTGCAGCACCCTCCATAGAACTGTGGGGCCCCTGTGATACCCTGGCTCCCTGTGGGTGGTAAATCAGGACAGTAGCGCTCCAGGTCTTTTTCTAGGAATCCTCCATCCTCCAGCATCTTCCTCCTGTTTCTATAGGTATCTCTTGACAGCTTGGTCTCAGGGATGGTCCCTGCCTCTTATTTGGCACAGACTAAGCCCCAGAAACACAGGATCTAGTAACAGACTTCTACAACAGAATAGCTTATATGCAGGAGAACCACAGAAGCCAGGAGAAAAACAGGAAGATCACGGGCTTGGGGGGTCAGTGCTTCCCCTCTGTAGATGATAGTGGGCTAGCAGGGGCCAGGGAGCCCTCAACCCCCAGTCCTCATCCCCCAGCCCCCAGCCCTCAGCCCTCAGCCCATCCCCATCTCCACAGACTGACCAGTAGAACTCCTTCTTCCTACCTCTGTCCTGATCTCACACAGCACAGGAGGCCTCTCTTCTCACAGTCAATAAAGGTCAACCAAAGTATCCTGGAGAGCAGAGTAGGCTCTGTGTTTCTCACAAGAATTCCTGTCTTTTAAGGCCATCATCTCAGATCCCACCAAGGATATGAAATAACAGAATGAAAGCACATGGCCATTCATAAGAGAGATGAATCTGGGAAACCACATTCAGTATGAAAAGAAAGCTACCAAAAACGAATTCTGTTTTCTAAAGGCTACACATTAATTTAAAAGATGTAATGTGGGCAAGACATCCATATGTAGTGAAACCATTTTAACATCTGTCTTGAAAACAGCTCCGATCCACGAGGCAGGTTGATGCTGCATGCAGGGCAGGATGATTTGGGAGAATGGAATGCATCAAAGGCCTGTGGCAGCCCTCACTTTGAGACCAGATTCCAGTTCCAGATATTGTATGGAGGATTTGGGTGGTAACATGGCTTTAGTTTCATGCCTTATAAATGCTACTTATGGTATACAGACTTTTTTTAAAGACAAAATTTGATGATAAGATTTGCGCAGAATACTGATTCCATCGATTTTAGAGTCATAGTTGGAGCAGGGGGTTAGCAGGGTCTCTGAGAGAACATGACTATTGAGATAATATTAAAAGGCTAGTAACTGTTCCCATCTGTTCTTACTGCAACTCAAATTCAGTATGACTGAAATAAACTCATATTTGAGCCTGTAGTTCAAGCTGGCTTGTGTCTCCCTCAAAATGTCACGGGAACAATTTGTTGAGGACACGAAGCTGGTTGGTTCTTGTGCTGGTGATAGAGCCCCTCAGTGGTCTTACTGGTGTTTCACTAGGGAACAAGTTTGCTGTATTTACAAGGCAGGCCCTGGAGTTGGGATGTGGGGGAGGCATGCTTGGGTAAGACTGGGTAAAGACCACCATGAACATTTGTGATGGTTAGTACTGGTTGTCAAGATGACAGGCGTTAGAATCATCTAGGAGACTAGGCATTGGGCATGTCTGTGAAGGAATTTCTACCCTGAGCTGATTGAGGTGGGACGATTACCCTCAATGTGGGTGGCTCAGTTCATGGTATGAAAAAGAGAAGGTGAATCCAGGTCTGGTGGCAGGTGCCTTTAATCCTAGCACTGGGAAGGCAGAGGCAGGCAGATCTCTGTGAGATCGAGGTCAGATACATAGCAAGCTCCAGACCAGCTGGGGCCAGAGGGAGACCCTATCAAAAAAAAGGAGCAGGTGCACCAAGCACCAGCAAGCACCTCCATCTGCTTTCCCACTGTGGACTCAGCAGGACCAGTCACCTCAAGCTCCTGCACTGCTGTGACTCCCCCACTGTGACGGCTTATACCCTCAAAGTGAGAGCCAAAATAAACCCTTCCTTAAAAGCTTTGTCACAGTAGAAAAGCAAGTAGCTCATTGCATTAGATGTTTTAGAGCCAAAAACAAGGATTTTGATGAACGTGGTCACATTTTTTTGTTCAATTTTTCAGATAAATTTTCCTGGAATCTCTAAGTTTGGATATGAGACCAGGGGACTGCTGGAGTCTGTCAGTGTGGACTGCTGGAGTCTGTCAGTCAGTGTGGACTGCTGGAGTCTGTGGTTTCCTTTCTCTTGTGTTCTTTCTGCATTTATCATTCAAGGAAGCACTTGTTATGCAGAGAGTGGGCAATGGAATGTGGAGACAGAAATTGGACACCTGCTTCTTGGTTCCGAGTCAGTGCACCTTATTAAACCCACATCTGATGTTTCCTTAAAGGAGCCGAGAAAGGGAGTTAGCACCAAGGTCTAAGTTCACAGCAGATCCATCCACTCACCTCCTCCACACCAGCCAGAAAGTCTCCTCTGAATGCAGACCCCCAACAAGGTGTGATGTCAGCCAGTTTCATGCTGCAGTGTTCAGCGCTTGTTACACAAGGAAAACCATGAAAGGAGGAAAGAAATTCAGTCTCTTACAACAGAACCTAGAACAAAAGAGACTGATCTCAGGCTGAAATCCTGCCTGGAATTTGGCAATTCTGTCCACAAACTCAGGTTACTCAACATTGTGACTGACTGAGGTTCTGAGTCTCTCTCTCTCTCTCTCTCTCTCTCTCTCTCTCTCTCTCTCCTTGCTGTGTGCATATGTATTTGTATGAATGTTTGCATGTGTATTTATGTACGTGTGGGTATATGCATGTGTGTATGTGTGTCTCTGTGTGTATCTATGGTGTGTATGTGCACATGTCTATTTGTGTCTACGTGTACATGTATGTATGTGTATTTGTGTGTGTCTATGTGTGCATGTGTGGATTGTGTCACTGTGTATCAGTGGTATGTATGTGCACATATCTGTATATCTACATGTACATGTATGTATGTGTGTTTGTGTGTCTATGTGTGTATTGTGTCTGTGTGTATGTGTGGTATGTGTATGTGCACATGTCAGTGTGTGTCTATGTGCATGTGTTTGTGTGTGTCTGTGTGCATGTGTGTATGTGTGTTTGTGTGGGTGAGTGTTCAGCTTTCAGAGTGAACTAATTATGCTTCAGTCATGCCTGATTGGAACTGGTGATTCAACTGTGGCAAAACTTTGCAAGTGTTCATTAAGTCAATCTTCATTAATGCGGAATGACTATTAAACTTTTATGGGATATATGTCATCAGCATGAATACGATGCATTCATTTTACCCTGGAAAGCTGAGATGAATACAAAATGTTCCAATGATCAAAACTTAAAAATCGTCCCAGGTGGATAGCTGTGGACATATGTAATAGGATTATGTTGCCAAAGAAAGATTGAAAGCTTCATTGTATAATTTATGATATAGATGCACAGAAAGCACTGTTTTTATTAACATAATAATAAATTTTCTAACAAAACACCCTCTGAAAAAGACATCTTTTCAACTTCTTGCTCCATAATTTATAGGTCCTTAAAATGTTAGCATTCTAGATTCCTAATATTAAAAATTAAATGTGTTATTTCATGGATTTTAGAGTATCCAGACTTCAAATATCTTCTCTTTTGTGTTAAATAGAACAGCTGCACATTACATAGTTGAAACCTGCATTAAATGAATGATTCTAAAGTATGCCTGTTCATTTCAAGATTACATAGTTTCATTAAATCCCAGGTTTACAGACCGGGTTCCAGCTTTCAGTGGGGCTGGCACTTTGCCATGGCAACTTTTGCATCTTTTATAAACATACACAGTTACAGACTAACAGGAGAGACCAGCATATCAGACATAGATGGATTTTCTTGATACTTATTTCTTAAATACAGGTTGGATTGCCTGTAAGTAATTTGTTTCTGAGTGCATGGATAATCAGTACACCGACACCATGTTCTTTGTTAAGGGTGTTGCGACATGCTTTTCTTAATTTCCTCTTTTTAAATTTATTTTTATTTTATGTGTTTGAGTGTTATGCCTGCATGTAGGTAAGGGCACCCGTGTCATGCAATGCCCTTGGAGGACAGAAGAGGCTGTCAGATCCTCTGGAACTGGAGTTACAGATGGTTGTTAGCCATCATGTGGGTGTTGGGAATTGAGCCCGAGTTTTCTGCAAGAACATCCAGTCTTCTTAATTGCCGAGTCATCTCTCCAGCCCCTTAATTTCTTATTGTGATAAAATAAACAATTAATATAGACTGTATCATTGTAGCCAATTTTAAGTGTCAATTCGGTCTACTAGATACATTCCTATTTTCTGCACCTGTCACGATCATCCATCCTTATGATTTTCTTCATCCTATAAAACTGAACTCTATAAACAGTAACTCCCTACTTCTCTTGACCCCAGGCCCTAGAGACCATCCTTCCACCGTCTGGCTCTATAATTTTGATTGCTGTAAATACTTCTTGTAGGTGGAGCCAGACAACATTTGTCTTTTTGTGACTTACTTACTTAGTATAATATCCTCAGGGTTCATCTGTGTTCAGCATATGTCAGAATTCTTCTTTTCTGAGACCATTTAATATTTTGTATTATTTGATTTTCTTGTTGTGATGAAATACCACCAACAGAAGCCGTTTCAGGAAAGTCGTGTTTGTTTTGGCTCACGGGTGGGGGCTGGGCGGAAGTTGGCAGTCGGAGGGAGGGGGAGGGGGAATACTGGGGCGTGGGGGCTCTGGGGAAAGCATGGCAGAAAGAGCTGGGGGCAGATAGTCACATGGTGCCCACACTCAGGGAGCAGACATGAGGGCTGGTGCTCAGCTCACTTCCAGTTTTTATTCACTGCAGGATTCTAGCATATGGGACTTCCCACCTAGTTAACCTAATCTAAAACCAACCCCCACAAACATCCCAGAGACTTGTCTCCTAGGTGATCTGAGATCCTGTTGACGTTCAATATCAGTCATCACATACCCCAATGCCCTTATCGACCACAGTTTGCTTATTAACTCACATCCTGATGGACAGTTGGGCTATGTCCACATTTCTGTTGTTGGGACTGATGTTACTAGGGGCACACTGTGTACATGAATTTTAAGAGGCTTCATTCAGCTCTTTGTGTGCACAACCAGCAGTGGAATTGTTGCATCGCATGGTAATTTTATTATTTTATTTTCATGTTTTTGAGGCACTATGATTTTCCACAGCAGCTATGCCATCATGTATTTATTTCCACTAACTGCTAGAGTTTGAAACCACTGGGAAAAAGACCACCAGACTCAGTTCAAATTAGGGCTATAGCCGTCTGTGGTCCCTTAGTCAGATTTAGGACCCATGGCCTCATGGGGGGTGAAACTGTTGTACCCCATCCACTGGACCCCAAAAAGACCACCGAGGACCCAACACACCAAAATGCAAAAGCAAAGGTTTATGGTTTATTGGGGCTTAAGCTCGGGCTCTCGGACCTCACCAACTCAACGGATCCGTGCTGAGAGCCCAGAGTAAGGGAGTGGAGCTTTTTATAGGTTTTAGACAAAAAGGGGGGAGATACCAAAGATACATTTTGGTTGGTTCAAGGAGCCCGCGCGCACCAACATAATTTTAAATTGATTGGATGTATAAGATGCAGCCCTGGAAGTTTCTTATTGGTAGGTGCTATTCTCAGGGCTGTGGAATGTGCTGACTATTACCTGTGGGGCCCCGAGTCTCTGTTTTTACCTCATAGGGCAGTTTTTATGCTCAGGCTTGCTTAATCTACAGTTTCCTGGAAGAGGGGTGGGGAATAGGAGGCGGGGGTCAGGGCATGCCTAGGCATGCCTAAAGCAGCAGCCAAGCATTTTACAGAAGCTAAAAGAGCAATTAGTGGGGGTCTGGAGGGATTGGGTAGTAGTGGGTGAATGAAGAGGGTCTCAGGGTTCTACAAAACTAACTTATAAAGACAAAAACCACAAATACCATAGGAATTTCGTAACACATGAGTAATGCCAAGTGGTCCTGCGTATGGTCAGGATGCCCAAGTTAGCAGGTAAGCAAACTACAGAAGCCAGAACAAGCTTGTGTTAGTTCTTCTCTTAACAGATGTATAGAGACCTTGACAGTAAGGAACTTTCTGATTAAGAACAGCTGCAATGTCTGGGAGGTGACCTGATTAAGTACAGCTGCAGTGTCTGGGAGGTGACCAAGGTCAGCTTCTCCAAAGAAAGCACTCTTCTAAGGGGAAGCAACTAAGTTTAAAGTGGCTGCTTTATACAACATGAAGTTACTTTGGCTATTACAATTTGGCAGATTCCATTTGGGGAAATTACATATCAATTCACAAAGTTCCAGTTTCTCCAGATTTTCACCAGCACTTTGTAGATTCTTTTTTTTTAAGTTGGTTGCTGTGTTAACGGATGTGAGGTGGTATCTCTAGTCTTTTATTTCTACTTCCCTGAGGATTAGTGATCTGCGACTCTTCTCAGGTGTTTCCTAGGTGTTTGCACATATTCTTTGAAGCAATGTCTCTGAAATCCTTCACCCATTTTTTAAATCGGGACTTTACTTGTTTGTATTTGGTTTTGTTTTGTTGATGTCTTTTGATTATTTTTTTTTAGATGTTCTCTATTTATTTTGGATATCAATCCTTTATCAGATATCTGATTTACATTTTTTAAATCGGGACTTGTTTGTATTTGGTTTGGTTTTGTTGATGTCTTTTGATTTTTTTTTTTTTAGATGTTCTCTGTTTATTTTGGATATCAATCCTTTATCAGATATCTGATTTACATTTTTTCTTGCATTCATTGGGTTGGTTTTTCTACTCTGAAAATTTACACAAGTATAAAACAATTTCACAGCAGAAAAATGTGTAAAAATAAGTTTTACTATAAATAAAAGAAATAGGACAGGGAGACAGTTCAGCTGGTAAAGTGCTTGCGGCACAAGCATAGAGACCAGAGTTCAGTCCTTACCTTGGTGGACAGATGCCACATTACAGTGACACTGGAGCAAAGCAGCCTATTTGGTGTCCATTACAATCAAGAGTGAACCCTATCCATTCTGAGAACTTGTGCCTCTGTGTTCTCCCAGAACTGTTGTCTCAAACAGAAGGCTTTGCTCTCTCTCTATTAAAACAGTCCATCCATCACATGGAGAAACAAGAGTGTGTCTTATCAGGGGGTGTGGCCTGCATTCTCTCTGGGTCTACTGTGCGATCAGACAAACCATATACTATATTTTATGTGAGTTTATTAACTTACAAAGGAATGAGTACCCAGTGCCTAGCCCTGCACCACCATGACTCAGAGCCCGCCTTATCAGACCATGCCATGCCCATAGCCCCACTAGCATTCTCTCACACCTCCAGGGCCAGTGATCTTACCCCAGGTCCACAGGGAGTCAGTTCATTCTGTCTTTGAGTTGCTGTGCTGGCTGTGAGTTTCCTACACCATCACGCTCTACCAGCAGCTCCCGGCTTCCATCCCAAGATGGCTCCTGGCTTCCCTTCCTAGTTCCCTCTGTGTCAGGCCCCACCCACTGGAGGAACCAGCCAATTGGGAGATGGGGTGTTGCCCTTTCTGCCCTCCACTGACCCAGAACAGCACTCACAACCATAAACTGATGT